CCTTAAAAATTGCCATTCCATATTTTTGTTGCTTTTTCGTTTTTTTTTAGTACAGAATTGTTCAACAAGTCGTTCAAAAAATCATCAGACACTTCGGCAAAAGTGCAAAACGCGAATTTTCCGCCATTTTGAATTTTCTATTAGTAGGCTATCACTAATAGCCTACTAGTAGCGTAGCCAATCAGAAGGCACGATATGTGATAGCCTACTAGTAGGTTTATACTAATTTGTAATAGTCAAGGAACCAAATTTAATTGGTCAAATCCGACTAACTAATTAAAAAATTGGTCAAAATGACCAATTGCCAATGGTTGCAACCTAAAAAATTGGTCATTTTAACCAATCAGTTTTTACAGTGTGTACATCGACTGTACACTCTGCAGTGACAGTGTTTTTGATAATTTTTTGACAAATTAGAACATTTAAATTTCCTCTACTAGGTGTGTATGTGTTCGTGGGGATCTTTTGGTCAAATCAGATGAAAAGGGGCCGTTGATATTATGTTTTTTGAAAAAGTAGTGAATTGTGAACTCGCTGTACCTGTACCAAACTTGCTAGCGATGTGTGAACTCGCTATATTTTAAATACTCCAGTAGTTTATACGTCCAGCGAAGTGTGATCTCGCTAGCTGGGCCGTCGTTGGTAATAATAAAGTTGTATACATTCTATTAAAAGATCAAGCCAACAAGGTATTGTATATCAAATTTTACAAATATATAGGTTGTATGTCAAGGCCTAAAAAAATACCTGTGGTTCCGCTTTCGTATCGCGAAAACTGAAAAAATTAGGGTCGGTAGGTCGGAAATAATTTTTTTTTTAAATATATTTTTCATGGTTTGGCGGTTTTTTTAAGAACTGAACGGCGCAAATTCATGCCTTGACCCAAGAGGGCGCCGCTTGAAACGCGATAAAACGAGAGCCTAAGACTCAAACCTGCATCTTGTTTTAAGTCTCAAATTCTTTTCCACACACACTCGGAAAGACTTGCGATTTATATGTCCGGAACAGAGAATTAGCATATACACCCCAGGTGTCATGGAATGTGAACTTTTTAGAGCACGGCAAGTTGAGTTGCAGGATAATCAAGCAAGCAAGATGGCGGTGCTTGTGAAAGGTTTGCTGTTTTTGTCTATATTAATGTGTTGGTTTCTGCTTACTTTTGGTTCAGATATATTAAATATCAAAACCAAATAGTACATAGAAGTAAAGGAGAAGGTCAACTGCTATTAAAATTGGGTATTGAAAGAAAATTTGGCATTCGCAAAATCGGTCGACTTCGAGTTATCTATCAAGCACATGCATCGAAGCGTAAATTTTCTATGACTCGTGTTAAATACACTGTAAATGGTGACTCATCTTATAACTTGCAATTAACAACTCAGGAGCTTCCACTGGCGGGTGATGTTGAACTAAACCTGGTGATAGTTCGGACAGTTGGGAGGCAAATTTGAAAGAAATCAAGATGCCAGACAAAGGTCTAAGGATTGGCCAGTGGAATATAAATCGTTTAACGGATGCAAAATTTGAACAGATAAGTCTTATTTTAACTACATACAAGAATATCGATATACTATTTTTAATAGAAACCTTCCTCGACCTCAAAGCCGGATTCTGTATATAATATTCCGGATTATTATCTGTTTCGGAAAGACAGAGGCGGATCTAAAAATGGCGGTGGGCTAATAGCTTACGTTTCTGACAAGGTTAAAGTAAATAGAAACTGTGATCTCGAAGACGATTTTGTCGAGTCGCTATGGCTAACTATTTACCCTCATAACTCACACAGGCCGTTACTAGTTGGATCTATATACCGTCCACCCTCTACAGATGTCGCTACGGATTCTAGGATCGAGCAAAATATTGAAACGGCGTATTTGAAAAATATGGAAATGATTTTAGTGAGTGATATGAACATAAATAGCCTGGATAAAATGGCCTTTTCAAAGCACCGACTAATTAAGTCCCTTGGCAATATGAATTTATCTCAACTTGTAAATGAAGTTACACGACCAGTGAGTAATAGTTGTCTAGACCACGTTTATACTACACATCCGGCATTTATTTCTGTCTTAACTGTGCCGAACATTGGTCTTGCCGATCACTTACCCGTGTTTATGTGTCGAAAATATGTTAAAATAAATAAGGATTCATCACATAAAGTGATAAATTACCATGACTTTAAGAACTTGAATGTAGAAAACTTGCTCGAAAACTTACGTAAATGCCCATGGGATAATGCATTTATCTTTGACGACGTTGATGACGTTCTTGAAACACTTGAAATATTTTTAAATCAAATAGTGAAAGATCATATCCAATTGAAGCAGAAAAGGGTTAAACGTTTTAAACAGCCGGCTTGGATAAATGATGAGATAGTAGTTGCGATCGGAAAACGTGATAAAGATCATAAAAGGGCGCGGAAATCAAATGCTATTGATGATTGGGCAAATTATAAACGCTCCAAATGTCATGTTGTAAATCTGATTAAAAAATCAAAACGTGATTACTTTCAAGAAACAATCGAAAACAATAAAGGAAACCCCAAGATTTTGAAGATTTGACTAAGGCACAAAAATCAAGTAAGACCATTGAGCTAAAGAGGGATAGCGGTTCGTCCGAAACAAACGCATTGAAAATGGCAAACATGTTAGGGACCGGTCATTATTTGCACCCGGGGTTGGGGCCGAAGAGAAAATGGTTGGGTAACTGAAAATTCTAAGACATCATAAAAAACTATTGGCAGCATTTATTTATTTATTTAATGTAAAAGTAGACTAATTTTTATAGACCCTATAAAAACAATAAAAACAGTTTAATCATCTAAACTGTCAATTGGCATATCGTCACTTTCAAGGTCTACTTCACATCTGGCAGCCACAATGCTCCTTTTCTTTTTTGCCTTTGATTTTTATTCTTTGGCTCTCTTCATTTTTCTCTTTTTCTCATAGTTGTCGACAGAGGCAGCATCCAACCTTTTCCTTAACTGATTGTTTATGTGTTCGATATCATTATTTAGCAATTTCCTCCGATTTCTTCAGCATTTCACCTGTCTGGGCTGTCATAGCTTGAACAAAAGCAATTTCATTGCTTGCCCACTTCTTGGGCTCTAGGTTGTCCCCATACAGTTCTTTCTTGCGATTTAATAATAGTTTACCTTTGTCCTTATTAATTTTGTTGATAGTGGTTTTAATTAATGTGGTCTAATGCTCTTTGGCTCTTGCACAGTGCACACATCCTCTAGCTGAAATAAATCTTGGTGGTAGTTGCATTCATATATACTGATGTAGTTCTTTACTGGAAAGATATCATGAAAATGATTCAGATCCCTGAAGCTAAAGTTGCAAGTAACACATTGGATTTTCGATACATACTAGCCATTTTAGACATGGGAACGCACAGAACACAACAATGAGTAATAATCATACTTCTTTGAACCTTCTTCTGAGCTACAGGGTTTTGAACACTATTTTCAATTCGTTGTGTTGCTGGATTGTCAGGATTGCGAGAATATGTAGCCAGAGCCTTCTTAAACTTCAGCAGATGCCCGGGTTTTGCCGATAAAACCCATCAGGTCGATCAGGTGAAACATCTGCCTCTGTTCCCCCGATTCTAGTGATTTAATAATAAGCTCAATATCGTTGAAACCAGTATCCTTAAATCTTCCCAAATACCCCTCAGCCAGATTAATAACCGACTTCACTATAATTACACCAACACAGAAAAAAATCACGACTTCAGAAAGCTTTCAAATTCGTTTTCTTCAGCCATGTTGTTTTTATCGATTCATGTTCGGAATCCGGTCGGATAAACTTCGAGTGTCGTCGATATTATGACCATCTTTCAAGAATCGGACAAGTAGTAAAGTACATTAATAAACACAACTTGAGCAAAAAAGGCAAGAAAAAGGATAAATAGAGTGGAATCACAGCAGATGTATCATGGAAGAGTCATGCCAGCATTGCCAGGTCTACTGAACACGCTTTGGAGCAGCTACACATATACCAGAGGAGCAATGGCAGTGATGGAGAAAGCGAGCAGGATCTTGTTTTGGAAGAGTTTGGGTTTAGGAGTTTGAGACTAGAGATGAATCTGAAGGTGAACAGGAACAAACTCGTGATTCAGTTCATGACAATATGCTGCAAATTGGGCTTTGTCGGATTTACAATGACCAATACAGTAAACAAATTATGGGTTTGTCAATATGCAGTATTGGGCCATTCCATTTAATATAGCCCCCCCCCCCCCCATTGGGGGGTCTGGATATCCTATGGGAGGGGAGGGGTTTTTACCTTAAAATTTCCTAGAGGTTAGCTTAAGGTGGCTCGATACAGTTTTCAAAAATTCAGGTGTTTAACACTTTGACATTTTCAAACTACGCATTTTTAGGATTTATTCACCAGATATTGGGTTTTTTATATATCTTGATAACTCTACTTTCAAATTATATTAGTTATAGTAACAGATAGTTCGTTGCTATGACGACATACGTGTACGAAATTCACTCCAAAATGGCCTATCGTCTCGTATAGTTGGAAAAAAAGCATGGTGACCCCCATTTTTTTTTCGTGCATTATTTTACTTGGACGAAAAGCTAACAATTAGCAAAATATAAAAAAATTCTGTAATGCCATTTTTTTGGAAAATGCGAAAATGTCATATTCTTCTGTAAAATTTTTTTGGCATTACAGAATTTTTTTATTTTTTGTACGATGAAAGTTTTTAGCGGTGCAATACTGCATGCAAAATTTGAACATAGGTCACCGTACAAAATAAAGAGATATAGCGCATTGTTTTTCTAAAATGGAAAATTCTAATGACGTCAGCAATTGACATAAAACGCTATAAAACACGCGCAATGACGTGATATGGCGCGAGCAACTGCTCACGTCAGGTCATTTTGGAAGTTCTTTCCTTTTGTTAATCAGTTTCCGCGACCTGCGCGTAAAAATTGTCACCCGGTTTTGAGTTCACGATTCTTGAGCAGAACTATATCGAGCCACCTTAAGAAATTTAAAAAAAATAGCAAGAATTTTTCGTGATATCCAAGGGGGTAAAAACGATATCCTAAAGGGGGTATAAAGAAATCCATGGGGTAACTTCCAAAAATTGCATCCAAGGGGGTTCTAAATTTTTTATATCCTAAGGGGATTATGAAGGGTCCCTTCCATAGGGGGGTGCCTATATTAAATGGAATGGCCCATTGTCGTAAGTTAGTATTAAACACATTTAATAAACAATATTTTTTCCTAGGGTTGGGTAAAAAAAAAATTAACCAAAAGATGGTTGGGTATTTTAATTTTCTGGGCTTAAGTTGGTTGGGTAAAAAGAAATTTTTGAATAAAAATAGTTTCTCTTCGGCCCCAACCCCGGGTGTAAATAATGACCGGTCCCTTAAACGACTTTTTTGTAAATATTATTACACAAATACAGAACGATCAAGTCTTAACAAATCCTTTGGATACGAAAATTATTGATGACTTTGTCTAAACGAAAATCAACAATTTTGTCACACAATACAACATTCCATCCATGGGCGTACCGGAAGGAAAAAATTAGGGGGGCGGAAAGAAAATTGCCCGACTTTTCGGGATTCTGCCCGACTAGTACCAAAAAATTTTTCCGGAAAAATTATTTTGGCGACCTCCCCCCCCAGTGTACCAGTTTAGGGGTCAAAAAAATTTTCCGGACAACCAAAATTTTTCGAAACATAACACAAATTTTCGATAAATCACAAAATTTGCCAAAAAATTGACTTTATTTTATACAAAATTGACTGAATTGGTCCCATTTTTTTTATTGCAAACCAAAATTGCCCGACTGTTGATCGAATATTGCCCGACTGCCCAAAAAACTGGGGGGCTACCGCCCCCCCCCCCGCCCCCCC